ACCACATCAAAGGTGAGGAAAAAAAAAGACGGAAAAAAAGATATTAAAAATACCAGTCCTATGATTTTTCTCACTTACTTTTCGTATTATTGTATTTTTTCCCCATTTGGTTATCATACCCTGGTTTTGTCTTAGTTCTACTCACCGTCCAGAGAAAAATCCTTAAAAAAAAATTTCATTTCGATATCTTGTGGTGGGAACTAAATTTCCATTGGCTTTTGCATGCAAACTAGTTCTGACCTGTTCATATTTATTAATCAGACTGTATAAAGTGGGTGGTTGGCGGATGTTCGAGTGTGGCTTACTCCTTCTGTCTAATAAAACACATAAAGCCCTGTACTCCCCCCCCCCCTCACCGTGGTCCTTCTTTTATTTGTAAGTTACTATCTAGTAACGCCTCTACTCTTCGACTCGCATATTATTATTACGATCTAAGTGTGTGTTGCAAGAGACGTAAAACTTTTACTTAAAATATAAAAGTTTTATATTTAACCTGTATAACCTGATCATCCTATATCTTTTCTGCCGCCAGCGTTCGTGGCAGTGCGACCTGACGCCTACTGCTTCCATTATGACGGCGCTGTGCACTTCTGCAACGACAGTTGCTGCCCACACACGCCAGGGTGTTGCCTGTAAGTATAAGACTATAAGTCTGTCCCCGTCGTTTTATGCAAGAAAAAATTATGAAATTATGCAAACTGTGCCACAAAAATGTGAAATTACGCGGTTCTCTTAATTTTAACATCGAATGATGAAGGAAAATAATAAGAAATTATGCAAAAAATGATCAAATTTTGCTAAATTATGCGGGGTGCATAAACCACGGGGACAGGTAAGTCACTCTTGGCACATAATAATACAGCCAAGCTAAGGCAGACAATGGCGGATTATGTAGGCCCTACTACGCTTTTCATACCAATGAACCTGAACGAACGCACAATAGAAAAAAACCATTATAGTCAGCGTTTTATGTTTATTTTTCAAATGTTCCTCAGCATGCTGTGTGTTTCTGCATTGTGTGTGTATGTGTGTGTATGTGTGTGTGTGTATCGTATGTGCATGTGTATCTATATGTGTGTATGTGTGTATGTGTGTGTGTGTGTGTGTGTGTGTGTGTGTGTGTGTGTGTGTGTGTGTGTGTGTAAGAGAAAGAGAGAGAGTGTATGTGTATGTGTGTGTGTGTATGTGTATGTGTGCGGGTGTGGGTGTGTGTGTGTGTGGGGGGGGGGGGGTGTATATCTGTGATGACTCAGAAGAAAAACACTCCGTTTTTTTTTCTTTCATTAAAGCACTTATTGTTACGTCCAGTGGTATACAGACATCTTAATAGCTTTTGAGAAAAAACAAAAACAAAGTAAAAATCCATCTGAGAAACGTTGAAATAATATAATACTATTAAAATCGAAAACATGTTCAATTCATGAATCAAATCGCCATGTTTCGATGCAAATTCCCCAGACATTTCAAAATAATAAGAGTAAGCCCAGTGTTGTGCGTAGTAGGACTAATTTTAAACAATAGGCTAACTGTATTGTCCCTGAGTTGTAGACAATAAAAATGATAATAAAAATAATAATAGTTTTTTTTTCCAAAAACAATAGATAATATTATTAATAATAATAATAATAATAATAATAATAATAATAATAATAATAATAATAATAATAATAGTAATATTGATAATAATTGTTATTGTGATAGTATTATTATTATATGATAAAAATAACAATAACAATAATTATGAAACTACTACTACTACTACTACTACTACTACTACTACTACTACTACTACTACTACTACTACTACTATTACTACTACTTATTATTATTATTATTATTATTATTATTATTATTATTATTATTATTATTATTATTATTATTATTATTATCATCATAATAATAATCATAATAATAATTTTTATTGTAATAGTAGTAGTAATTAATAATTATTAATAAAATAATATAACAACAATAATAATAAAAATAATAATAATAATAATAATAATAATAATAATAATAATAATAATAATAATAATAATAATATTAATACTACTACTACTACTAATAGTAACAATAATTATGATACTGCAACTACTACTATATACTACTATACTACTAGATCTACTACTATACTACTACTACTACTACTACTACTACTACTGCTGCTACTACTACTACTACTACTACTACTACTACTACTACTACTACTACTACTACTACTACTACTACTACTACTACTACTACTAATAATAATAATAATGAAAAAAAAGAAGAAGTTTTATCAAAGTTCTTAACGTTGTTTTTCAAAAGACTAAACGCCCAGTATTGCACTATGATGAAACAGTTCGCCAAATATTTTGTCCTTCAATAATGGGTAATGATGATTTTGTTTAAACATGAGAAGAAATAGAAGCAATATCAACTTTCTGGTATGCATATAAAGTGCAAGCTGCCATTTTAAAAGCAACAATACAGCACAACTTGCATTATCCAGAACTGACGGATACAATACTTGGTTAACGAACTGTTTCACCGTAGTGCAATATTGGGCTCAGTCTGTTGAAAAACAACATTAAGAACTTTGATAGATCACATTATGTTTTATTTTTCAATCATTATTTATATTATTATTTATAATATTAACAATATATTATTATTATTATTATTATTATTATTATTATTATTATTATTATTATTATCATGGTGCTCTGGAGTGGTTTGCTCCTTCTTTCCTGTCAAACATCTATCGTCCTTATCTCCCCTTCTTCTTTTTTATGTTTGTTACTCTCTTGTAACACCTCTATTCTTCAGGCGCTCATATGACCTTATGCAGTTGCGAGTGCCGAAAAACCTCTACTAAAGTATTATTATTATTATTTTTAATATTATTATTATTGTTATTATTATTATTATTTTTATTATTATTATTATTATTGTTATAAATATAATATTAAGGGGGGGAGGGGGGAGGGGGGGGGACTACACCTGAAGGCTATCTCGCTTATTACTGGACAAAATTTTACCAAATTTCACACATATAACAAGCACAGTAAGGAGTCTTACAATCCGCAATCAACAAAGTTTCGTTTCCATGGATACGGCGGCCATATTGGATTTTTTGACATGTCTTACGTAATGAATACCGCACTTACTGCTTATGGAAACTGATTGTTTTTTTGCATTGGTTTTTACAGACATTATATCTAAAAATTGGTACATTATTTTTTTCGTAAACGAATAAGAAATTTTTTAATGAATTTTTTCCTTAGGTAAAGCAAAAAATCCGTGAAAATCCACTCTCCAGACACCACCAACAAAAATCTATTACATATATCAAAAATTCAACTGGCTAAGGTTTAGTATTACGTCTTCTCTTCATTCTGTGAAAATTTCATGAAGATTGGATCGAAAATGTTGGAGTTACTCAAAAGAGTATAAAGAAAAGTTGCGTTTTGAGAAAACGGCCGATAAAGAAAAATAAAATACTGACTTTATGAGGAAATGGCGGTGACAAACATGCCAGGTATGGGGGGAACACGTTTTTTAGGGGTTCTTATGCTATGAAATAGTTGTAGGAGAGGCCAAGGGGGCTAAAAATGCCTACAACTCAAATTCCATAATTTAGAGCCGAATTTTGACTTTGGGGGTGTAGCGCCCCCCCCCCCCCCCCCTTCTTCTTCTTCTTCTTCTTCTTCTTCTTGTTATTATTGTTATTATCATTATTATTACTATTGTTTTTATTATCATCATCATCATCATCATCATTATTATTATTATTATTATTATTATTATCATTATTATTATTATTGTTATTAAAGCATGTCATTATCGTTTTTCTTTTGCCTTGTTTTTCCTGAAAGGTGTGACAGCCTCCTCCAGATGAACCTGAGTTGTGATCAGAACTACACCGGGCCCTTCAATGCGTCGCCCCCGGCGGCCACACAAACAGCGACACACGCCACGCCTCTCACTCTCCCAACGGTTTCCGCCACAGCAACGGTGGCACACCAAGGAGTGGGAGGAGCCCCATCTTCAGGGGGCGGGGCGTCGGTGTCAAGGGGCGGGGCCTACTGTATCATGCACGATAGCCAGACGGAGTACTGCAATGACAGCTGTTGTCCCCATGAGCCTGGCTGTTGTGTGTGAGTTGTTCTGACAATTGATAATAATAGTCAAAATAATAATAATAATAATAATAATAATAATAATAATAATAATAATAATAATAATAATAATAATAATTTTAATGTTAATAATAATATAAGAACAACAACAAAAACAATAACAATAACAATGATAATAACAATCATCATCATCGTCATCATCATCACCAGCAGCAGCAGCAGCAGCAGCAGCAGCAGCAGCAGCATAAAAACGTTGATAATAATAATGTCCCAATGTTACATGTCAGTTCGCAGAAACCAGCGAAACTAAGATATTATGCCATGCTACAAAATCTAACTAGATTTTAGATCTAGTGGGCATGGCTTCCGTAACCACGTAAAACACAGAAGTGGCCGTGGCGAGATTTAAACAGATTTGAAACAATTGCGATCCTTTTTCAGCTGCATAAATAAACGTATTTCCATTTAATTTTATTTACCGAGGTGAGCGTTTTTATGTTAGTTAAATTCCGTGTTTAAGGCAGTCTGTCTGATTGGCTTGAGACAGGACAGCCTTTGATAATGGAAGTGTGAACTGAAACAAGTTTAGTAGCCTAGTGAACTTACCTTCTTTTTGTCTGGTGCGGTGGCGGAGCGGTTTGTGCGCTCGTCTCCGAAGCTAAAAGTCCGGGATCGAGCCTCGGTTCGGACAAGGATTGTTTTCGCCCTCTTCTACAAACCCAGCAGTGATGTGTACCTGACTTCGAGTTGGGGAAGTAAGGGCAGTGTGGAAAAGAACTGGCAACCCTACCACAATGATGGCCCATGAAGTTGTCCCACTAATTTAAGGCTATTCCCAATGTCCGGTGGGATGTGGGAACAACTTTACTTTACTTTAGATGACCTGAATTTTAATTGTCTTTAATAGACAGACAGCCTTTTGGTCAGATGCTATAGAAGAAAAGATTTCCAATTTCTGATTTCGATCGACTGCTTCTGAACGCCCCCCTCCCACTCCACCCCCACCCCACCCTCCATAATCTCCACAGTTGCTCAACGTTACAGAGTCAAAATCTCAGCTGCAGTTCTCCGTACAACGAGTCCTCAATAAATCTTCCAGCGGGTCCTAATGCGGCAGGGCCAGGAGCCTATTGCGTCATGTTTGACGGAGCGACACAGTATTGTGCCGACTGTTGTTGCCCTCATAAGCCGGGATGCTGTTGGTAAGTAAAGAGAAGATAGAGATATGATTACTGTCCAGATGCTGGCACAATGGTTTAGTTTAGATAGAAAGAGTTTTACGGCTCATGCAGCACAATAAGGTCATACAGGTGCCGAAGATTAGATGTGTTACAAGAAAGTAACAAACACAAAAAAGAAGGAGGGAAGATAAAAACGATAGATCTTTGACAGGAAAGAAGAAGCAAACCACACAAGAGCACCCGCCAACCACGCACCACAAAGGTTTGATGCTTCAATTGGATCCTACAACTATTCCATCGCATAAGAAGCCCTGAAAGCCGTATTTCTTCCAATATCGGGCATGTTTGCCACCACCATTTTCTCATAAAGTCAATATTTTATTGTTCTTTATGGATCGTTTTCTCAAAACACGATTTCTCTCTATACTTTTTTGAATAACTCCAACATTTTTCATCCAATCTCCATGTGATTGTCACAGAATGAAGAGAAGACGTAAAACTAAAATTTTGTGTCTTGAATATTTTATATATTAATGGAATAGATTTTTGGTGGTGGTGTCTGAAGTGTGGATTTTCACGGATTTTTTGCAAACTTGATTACTACCTCAGGAACAAATTCATTAAACATTTTCTAATTCGTTTAGGAAATTATTATTTTTTTAAAAGATCTAATGTGTGCTAACATGCATGACCCCCCCCCCCCCCCTCCCCAAATTAACTTCCATGAACGATAAGTGCGGTATTCATTACGTGCGACCTGTCAAGAAAATCCAATATGGCCGCCGTATCTATGGAAACTAAACTTTTTTTTCTCAAATTTGATTGCTGATTTTAAGACTCCTTACTATGTTTGTTATATGTGTGAAATAGGGTAAAATGTTGTTTACTAATAAGGGAGATAGCCTTCGAGTGTAGCCCCTCCCCCTTAATCGAAGTATAGCCTTTTTGGTTAGATTCTATAGTTGACCTGAACTCTAATTAAATTTTGTCTTTAATCGACGTGTAGCTTTTTGGTCTTGTACTATAGTTGATATGAATTCGAGTTAAATTTTGTCCTTAATCGTCGTATAGCCTTCTGAACAGATGCTATAGTTGATCTGAATTCCAATTAAATGATTTACCTTTATTTAATCGACGGACAGTCTTTTGATTAGATGCTATGGATTGCTTGGAATCCAATTTCTGTTTTTGATCAACTGCTTCTGAACGCTGTTCCCCCTCAACCCTCCACAGGTGGTCAACGTTACAGAGGCTAAATCTCAGCTGCAATTCTCCCTACAACGAATCCTTCATAAACCCTCCAACAGCAAGCACCTCGCCCTCTTCACAGATAGTACCAAGCTTTACCACTACCACCCTGGCCACAACTTCGCCTGGCAGTACTGGGTCAGGGGGCGGATCGTCAGGGGGCGGAGCCTATTGCATCATGTATGACGGGCAGACCGAGTATTGTGACGACAGTTGTTGTCCTCATAAACCAGGATGTTGTTTGTAAGTAAATATAAAATACGACAAATCTTTATTGTCCAGATGCTCACACATTGGTACGGTGTTTCACCCCCTCTCCCCCCCTCTCTCTCTCTCTCTTTCTCTCTCTTACACGCACACACACGCACACATACACACACAAACACACTCACAAACACACACACACACACGCGCGCACACACTCACACACACACACACACACACACATACGGCAGAATGCCTGCCATATAATAATGTGTCTATCTTGCTTCCCCAGATGTGCTTCGTTATTGAGTCAGAACAGGAACTGTAACTCCCCCTACAACGCTTCAGCTATTGTTGTAATCAGCACCATACAGGTGAGTGGTTGGTGGATGCTCTGGCCCTCAGCCCCACCCACAAATTACCGCTCTTAAAACCTCTCGCGACGTCTCACAAAATCTGAATCCCCGTCCCTCGATTCGATGAGTCATTCACGAGTATCGAGTGTCTTGTCAATGCCGACTAGATGTTCAGATGATTTGGATTCAAACTCGCCTTGCGGTGGTTGGTGGGTGCGCTAGTGGAATTTGGTCCTTTTTCTCTATCAAACATATATTATTATATGATAATAGATGTTTGACAGGCAAAAAAAGTATATATAATTATATATATATATATATATATATATGTATCTTTTTTGTGAATGTTACTTTCTTATGACAGCTCTAATCTTCGGCACTTCTATGACTTCATAATTGTGTTGCAAGTGCTGTAAAACTATAACTAAAACTTAACTTAACGGACACCATGCATACCACTCAAGCGGTACAGAAGACACAATGTAAGCCTACGGAGAAACAAAATACAATAAATGTATAATTTTATCGTCGGTCAGCTGTTCAGATGTAATAAGCCTGAGACTTTGAATAAAAAGTATTGAAGTGTTTTAATGTGTGGTATCGGTTTCATGCACTCAAGTATATATATCACTCATATTATATTGTCGAAAATTAAACTCTATATATCTGTCCCCGTGATTTATGGGGGAAAAAAAAAAATTATGAAAAAAAAAATGTATACAAACTGAGTCCCAAAAATGTGAAATGATTCTGTTAATTTTAACAAAGAATAAAGGAAAATAATCTGAAATTATGCAAAAAATGATCAAATTTTGCTTAATTATACGGGGTGCATAAAACCAGATATCCTCGGGCGTAGGAAATTGTGGTGTATGAGTGGAACTACATGAATATCAGGGAGAGCTGCAGTGTACCCTGTTACTCGAACTGCAGACAGCAATGTTATTCCCCTGTCCACTCGGTTTGGACAGTGCACTAACCAACTGTTCACTGTGTCTGTACGTGGATCTTGACGAAAAATATTATAATACAGAAAACAGTCGCCTGTAAAGTGGGTTTTTAAAGCCTTTTTAAAAAACACTTTGAGGTTATTAAGAACGTCGAAGTGTTCAACTGGAAACCCATTTTCAATAGTTCTGTGTGAAGTAAGGAGTCGGTGGGAGTGGAGAGTGGAGCGTGGGGAGTGGAGAGTGGGGAGTGGATAGTGGAGAGTAGGGAGTAGGGAGTGGAGAGTAGGGAGTAAGGAATGGGGAAGGG